CACGGGATCCTCAATTGTCGGTCTTCGAAAGCCTATGTAACTTCCTACGAAGACTAGTGGTACTGAAATCCCGAACCATAAGAAGACTAAAGTAAACATAGTTCCGAATGGGACTGCCCCTGATGATTTCTGGCCCCAGATGAGTGCATTGAGTACTAGGAAAATGCTAAAGACTGTAGCTGGGAACAGAAAAGCAGTCCTAAGAGCGATTTTCTTCCATTCAGTTCCTTTGAACATCTTATAAAGACGGGCAGAGGCATAACCGGCAAAGAGCCCCATGAGAACCCAAAGCAATAACATTACCGTCATAAGTCCGCCACGGTTGGAAGGGGAAAGGAATCCGAGTGCAGCAAAGATCATAGTCACAAGTACCACCCCTAGAAACTGTACCCCAGTTCCAACATAGACACAGAGTAATTCCGAGTTATTTGGTGACCTGAAAACATCTGCATGGACCAATTTCCATCCAGTTTCTTCCTGGGCCTCCTCCTGTGTCTCAAGTTCATTATACTTAGAGATGTCCCGATAAATTGTCCGCAGCATTATCATTGCAACCATGCCCGAGAGGAAGAGAACAATCATCAAAGAATTTACAATTGAGAACCAATGGATTTGATCATCTGACATTAGAAGGTAAGTGTCCCACCTTGATGCCCATTTCACCTGACTCTCCTGCAGTGCAGAGCATCATCAGAAATGAGAAGGTAAGTTGAAATTTATGGTGGAAAGAACATTTACACATTTAGTAATCACTTGCAAGTAATGGAAAAAAATGAAAACTAGAATTTATTTTTTCAGGTGATGAAGATGACTGTTATCTTGCATATAACCAGAATTATCAGTTATTTTATCACCTCAAATGCGACATCATAAGTGAATATGGCTTCTTGTTTGTCTTCAACTTCTTGTGGAGAATTTGAGGAGGAAACCATGCGCTTTGCATGGGGATCACACGTCACTAGATGAGTATCCTCACTCCATTGTCCTTCATACTCATGCTTAACGCTAAACAAAAGGCAATATAGAAGATAAGTACATGATGCAATACAAACGCCAAAAGAAATCTATGAAGTAAAATAACAAAAACTTGAGCCCTAGATCAAATTATTAAGAAATGAGACCTCCCTAAAGAGCCTACCTACCTGAATGGTACAACCTCAAAACCCACAATCCTTGCCGCTTCAGTCTGTTGATCCTTATGATACTTGACAGTGAAGCTCAAGTGATTGTGAAGAAAATATTTTTCATCCTTGCTCTGCACAGAAGGGAAGAAAATGCTAGTCAAAAAAAATCCTGCAAATAGCTTACCATGGCAGTTTAGGCCTGATAATTTTACTTACTCCGCTGTATTTTCCTTTTAGCCCAACATGAAAACCAAGCTGATAAACGGGAGGACTATCTTGTTCTTTCCTTGGAATGGGAACAACCAATGGGAGATTATCTAAGATCCTGCCACATGAAGCAGAAGAACTGTTAAATGTTGATGCTTTAAAATAATTTCTAGGGAAATTGGTAAAAGATGTTGGATTTGTTAAACGCAACATATTGACCTACATGTTGACACGATATTCATCTTCAATTTTGTCTTTGAATTCTTTTGCAGTTTTGGCATCAAGTGTAAGTCGACAGACAACATTGCACATCTGAGGTTCCCTCATTTTAAACTGATTCATAGACAGCAAGAAAATGTCAATTCCTAACAAATCAATCAAATGGGCCCGAATTCATAAAGGACATAATACTGACCACATAACGGGAGTTCTCAATGCGATCGCCACGAAGTACTTCCCCAAGATTTTCTCTACTGTCGACTATTGCGTCTGGACGACAGAAAGGAAGAGAATAGTACGAGTAAGGGAGCTGAGTCTTTATAGAAGTCAGTTTGTTCACTTTCACATTCAATGGATCTCCCTGCACCCAATTCAACAAAATAACCAAATAAAGAAAGTCAAATGAGTCATGACATATGACTGACAAAGTGGTAATGGGAAGAATCAAGTAAATGTAGGCAACAATTTAGACAGTGCAGGAAATTTCAAATTTATACCTCCACTAATGAATGAATGCAGAAAGAAGCTACTTTGTTACCCGAGCCTTATTTCTATCTGGTAGATTCGCTTGTTTGGCTCCCATTATAATGAGAATTTTTGGGGAAAATGTATACTGGAATAGCAATTTTTTGGAGAATGTGTGTGGGGGGCGCCGTGGGGGGGGGGAGTGGGTTTACGTGTAATATTGTTTTATTGGAGAATATGTGTTTGATAAGAAGAGATAGAAAAATAAATTATGGTTTTAATGGGAGACAAATAAAAATACAATCACCATTTTTCTCTCTACACCTAAATTTTATTATTTTATCTGCATCCACTGTTCAATTTAAAACTTAACAATATTATTCTATACATCCCCAATGTTCTGAAAAGGCCCCTTATGTTGACCGGTGAGAAGTATTGCATATATTGTAGAAGCAATTCTCATCCCCAGAGAAGGGGAAGGGGAAGGGTCCGAAGGGATAAAGTATGGTGGTGGCAGAGACAAGTTGGACAGACAGGTTGGGAGTGGGGTGAAGGTGGAGGTGCAGGGTGATGAGATGGGAAGGATGATGGAACGGTGGTGGCATGGTAAAATTGGCATTTTGATGAAATAATACCTCTTTTACACACTACTTCCGAAACAACCCTCGTGAAAAGATAGAAGCATAGGGACTTCTCTCCATTTCAGAAGAAAAGTTGAACTTTTTGTTGGTATATGAAGGATGGCTAATTGTCTATTAAAAGGTGGGTCTGAATAGCATCTCACCTTATGGTTTCCTTCTCTGACACTAAGTAAATTGATTGCTACACTGTTTTAAATATTGCATTCTTCATTGAGACAACTTTCAGAAGTTACTTGATGACCATTTGTAAGACAACAGGTTGAATAATCGAGGTGCCGCTTGGCTTAGCCAAGAAATCCTTAGTGTGCATGGACATTGCGCACAAGTGCTTACACCTTAAAGTTTATAGGACACCTACATTTCTGCATTAGAGCCAAGATCTCGAGGGTGGATTTGAATGGCCAATTATTATTTAACAAATGCCATGAAATTACAGAATAGCATGCCATGTTTAAACAGAATTAAATGGCACATGCACTGATTGTAACACTAAGCTAGTTATTTATTACTCAATATCCACCTAGTCTCTTCAAAATCTCATCCTCCATTCCCAGA